TCCCACCCCACTTCCTCGTGCCTTTCTTTTCTTTCCTGTCCCCCTAGCACAAGAGACCCCTGCCACACACACACACCTAGGGTTCTACGTCTCAGCTCACCTCTTGCCTTGCCCTCAGTTTTGTTTTCAGCTATTTCCCATATGGCGCCTGCACTGGATGGTTGCTATGCTCTGTGTGTCATTGCTGTGGGCTTTTATGTAAAGCACACCCAGAGCCATAAAGCATATCACCACCAGCTAACTTCTGATTGGGTCCTTGCCACGAGGCAGGCATCTGACCTCTTAGTGATTACTGTCATGTCTTCGGAAATGGGGAGCTGGTCCCTTTAACAATGAAAGTTCAAGAAATCAAACAAAAAGTAACAAATGAGTTCTCTACAGAGAACAAAGAAAAAAAACAGCAACAACAAAACCAAATTAATCAAACCAATTAATAAAAGAAAAGTGGGCAAATTATCTCATAGAGAACTCTTCAAAGAAGTAAGGCAGAGAGAGGGTCAATACACATAAGAAACAAATGTTAAATATCATTCAGTTTTAGAGACAAGCAGGTTAAAATTAAATTGGACTATCAACTCACCCACTTGATAGAAAAACAACAAAATGACAGATGTTGATGAATATATGGAGGAAAGGGAACTCCAAGTCAATGTGTTAATAATATTGTTATCTCATACACATGAGAAGCTGAGGTCCATGCTGCCTATGCTACACGGGCTAGTGTTAGGGTAAATCTTTCCACCAAAAGCCGCCTGAGCCCCAGGAGAGCAGCTCCTGTGAGGGTATTTGGCAACTTTTGTGTTGCACGTTAAAAACACAGCAATTCAGTCCTGCATTGGCCTCCAGTACTTTTTTGAGACTTCTCGCCTCTATTCCCCTCTCCCCGCAAATATCCCTGGGTCTTTATAGGCCTTTTCCTGCCTCCCCAGTCTTGTAGGGAGAAGGTTCCATCATCAATTGTTATGCCTTTTGGAGGACTGAGGTAAATTAACAGCCATTCAAGGACATTTAAATGTACCTGTGTGGCTTCTTTACAAAAAGATGGAGAGAGTCACAACCCAGAGCCAGAGACTAGGGAAGAAAAAAAAAAATCTGCTGTGAAATGAGTCCTAGGCTGGGGCCCCTAGCCTGGTGAGAGTGAGGTAAGTGTTGAGGTACCCAGGCAGGCAGCTCCCAGATATTAGAGAACAGCCTGTGTATATCTTCTACCTTTACAAACCCAATCTGAGTACCTGTGTTATTCTGCCTCGTGCAGAGGCTTTCCAACCTGGTTCAGCAAGGCAGCCTCCACTTCTCCCCTATCTCAGCTGTGAGACTTACTGAACCACAGCCAGAAACCCTTCCCTGGTGCTGTTTCACCCAGTCTCCATAGTTAAAAGTTGTGCAAGTGTCAATGACATGGGAACCCATTATGGAGGGGAATAAAGTCCATCTCTAGCCACAACCTCTCCTTTGCTGTTTTGTGACAGCCAACTCAAAACCCTGGGAGAAGCTAGGCTTGATCAGCAGATGCTTCTAATGGCTTGCCTTCTGTTCTTCTTGGGCCCCAGAATACCCTAGCAGACCCAGTCCATATTTATTCTGTCCATTCATGGAGTTAGCAAGTATCCTGAAAGCCCAGAGCTAAGAAACACCAGGAAGAAACCAAGAGTACAGGTTTCTGGTCACTGAAAGAGCCAAGGAATTCTAGTTGGCATTTTGGGCTCATACAGAAGACCAAAGCGAAGCTCAGTTCTGCACACGCTTCCAAGCTGTATGACTTGAGCAAATCATAGAACCCATATAAAATATGGTCATCACACAGGGTTGTTTTGAAGCTTAATCGTGTGTTCATCAGAGGTGCTTAACAGAATATGCATTTTTAATACAGACCCAATTAGTCTATCAACAACTGCTGCTAAAGGCAGACAAAGCTATACCTAATAATGGGTCTAGACATATGTAAGGTATCGAGTGTCATGCAACTACAAGGATTTCAGTAAAGGAAAGGTTGCCACCTGAGGTTTCTAGGAAGCATTTCTACAGCCAATCAACCAGAGGCCATAGGAGATAGCTCTGCCTTTTCAGCTTTATGGGGGAGGGGACTGAAGAAGATTGGGAGCCATAAGGCAGACATCTGGTTCTTGGCATAAAATGGTGTGCACCACCAAGACCACACACTGCACTCTACTTGATCCCAGGCTTCTATTTTTACTTCCTTCATCTTACAGATCTGGCTTATGGATCTCTTTATATTTGCTGTTTTGACTTCCTGGCCAGCTTGCTAATCAGTTTGCTGGTTTGACTCACAGGGTTTGCGTTCATGCGTTCATTGCCGGGACTTAAACCCACACTTGTTTTGATTTCTTTCTATAAAATTAGAAGCATTTGATGTAATGGCTGCACCTACCCACAGCTGGTAAAGCAAGAATAATGCTCGATCCCTCATAGCTTACACACAATGTAGACAATAATTAGGGATGCTATCTTTAGATGTTAGGATAAGCTGTTTTTCAGAATGGCAGGGATGTTTTTAATTTTTTTCTGAGTGGGGCTTATTAATGCATATACACAAAAATACTAAAAATCGTAAGAAAATGGAGCAAATCAGTGAGTGCTTTAGCCAACTTTAAAAGTCTGCAGGAAATAAACCAACTGAGTTTAGATCTGCTGTTTGGACAAAATGCATAAAATCTTTACATTCTCCATAGCTTTCACTGCTGCTATATGATTAAAGACTTTCAGGTGACAGATTGCAAGGGAGAAGTTGCTACAGTATGCTGGAAGCAATGCCCAGCCTGGGCTTGGCCTTGGTGAAGGTTGGGGGAAGGGCGACACAGAAAAAGCAGACCATTAATCCTCCAGTCAGCAAAGCTAACACTTAAAAAAAAATCATTGTATATATGTGAATGGTGTGCATATGAGGGTATGCACTTGCCATAATGCATATGTGGAGCTCAGAGAACAACTTTGTGGAATCCATTACACAGGTTCTGGGCCTTGAACTCTGGTTGCCAAGCTTGTATAGCTATCACCTTTGCTCACTGAGCCATGGAGTCCACCCTCTTTTCCCTTTTCTTCTCCTCCTTCTCCACTTCTTCCTCTTTTGCATGTGGTGTGTGTGTGGGGGGGTATGTGGGTGGGTGTGTGGGTGTGTGTTTCAAACTCTCAAATACACTGACGCTGGAGCTCACTGTTTTGGCTACTCTAGATCCCTGGCTCCTGAGAGTCTGTCTCTACCTCCCAGAGGCTTGTATTACAGGAGGCTGCCACACCCACCCAGATTTCACCTGGGTGCCAGGGATCCAAACTCCAATCATCAGCTGCATAGCCAGCTCACAACCAGCACTAGACCATCTCTCCAGCCTCCAGTTCACAGTGGCACAAGATCTAAGTCTGTATGATACATGATGATGGAGGAACCCAGTTCACTGTGCAAGGAGTAGAAGTTACTTCTTTCATTAGACAAAATTACAAATTAGCAAGTATTTTTAAAAAACAGTAATTTAATTTAATGTTGAATGTGTGGGTCCATGCAGGCATGTAGAGGTCAGAAGACAATCTGAAGTGTTACTCCTCAGGCACAGTCTATTATTTTTGTTGCTTTGAGACAGGGTCTCTCTTAGCCCTGGAATTCACTACATAAGTAATTAGGTTGCCCCGTGAGCTCCAGGAATCCACACATGTCCATTTTGTCTCAATGCACTGGGCTTATAAGTGTGTGCCAGGACACTTGGATTTTTGTGGTTTTGTTTTGTTTTTCCCACTTCTGTGCTGGAGCTCAAACTCAACTCCTGCTTAACAGGCAAACCCTGCACCAAAGGAGTCATCCTGGACTCACCCGAGATTCCTTTCCCACACATTCCCGAGCTCACACAGACTGGCCAACATGAAACTTTTCAGTGTTGTGTGGACTTGCCCTACACAGCCAAAAGAAAAACTTGCCATTTAGTGAGAAGTGAAAATTACCTCCATGCTGTGTCATGATGTTTTGTTTTTGTGCAGCCATACTCTGGAGAGCCCTGGCCTTCTTGCTTTTCTTGCTTTTCCCTCTAATTAGAACCTCTCCCGCACTTCTGTTGGCTCTCTCTGATCTTACACTGCTCTCTGTTCAGCTGCCTAGGGGAAAGGACTGCATTAAAGTGTGATTTCGTGGCCACCCTTTGGCTTTTGGACAGACTACCTGCCGCCTCCAGAGGGAGTGCTCAGAATCAGGAAGGAAGGATGCTTCCAAACACACCTTCCAGAACACTCCAGCAGAGCTCTCCAAAGAGGAGGGCAGTACCCGGCCTTCACTGGGCTACACAATGAAGCCAGGAAAGCACCTGGATTTGAGAGGGGAGAGGGAGTTATAGGGAAACAAGAAGGACAAAAACAAGTTGACATTGTAAAGTGACAGACGGTGAAGAATTATATTAATGAGCAAGCAAAATGACTTTTTCATGCCAGATAGTGAAGCTGGCACAGGTACTCAGAATCCACTGTGTGGAGTGCCACCAGCAGGGTCCTTTCTAGAAACTAGCATTGTGATGGACAATGGAGTGTGTTAGGGAGTCAAGAAGGGACCTAAAGTAATTTGGTTAGGTTATCTGTGGGGAGGAGCCTCTAGCAGGGACCTGGCCAGTGGGGTTCAGAGGGATGCTGAAGAGGATGAAGTGGAGGACCCGTCAAAGGGGGACAGGTGGGGCTTGGAAAGGGAGGAAGAAAAGATGGAAAAGGCTAGTTTCTCAAGTACCAATTCATTTCCACATCTAAGCACAGAAAATACTAGAGTGCAAGCCTGCGCTCTTTAAGGACTGTCAACTCAGCCTCACCTCTCTAGACTGCACTCTGTACTCTGCTGTTCAATTAACTAAGGTGGAAAGCTAACAGGACAGACACACATATGGAGGAAACAAGGGTGGGAGGAAGCAAGGCTAGGAAACACGGCAGACCACAATCAGGGGGGAGATGAGAGGACATGGTCTTGTCCTAACAACAGATGCTCTCCAGCTTCATACCCACCAGCAACGTAATATTCTGCATTATTAAGGAAGAACAAAAAAAAAGGTATGTAGGGGTCAAGTCTATTTAATTTCTCATTCTGCTGCCTGAGACATGGTTTTGTTTTGTCAGTTTCTCTTTCAGTGTCTTCATATCTAGGTACAACTCAGAGGGTATACCTCGAGGAATCTTTACCCATCACAATAATAATACTTCTTATCCAAGTGTTTAGACTTAGGTATGTGATATTGTGTGATGAACAAAGTATGACAGAAACCCATTTTCCTTCCCTTTAGCCATTTAAAACATGTTTATACATACATGGGAGAAATATCCTTGTGCTTTTGAATGCAATGAGATAATAGGTGATGCCAGGAGCTGTTGCAATCATGAATGCAACTGACTTAAAACAAGCAAAACTGGGAGATGGATATACAGATCCCTGGAAAATTCTTGAAGTAGTTCCAAGATGTTCAACTTAAGAAGTTTTGGCCACACAATAGAATTTACTATACTATTGTTTAAGTTCCTCTGAGTTATGAGCTTTTGCTGGGAATACCATGATGGAAGCAGGATGGTAGAGTTGGGGAGGGAATGCCACAGTTAACTCTCTTAAAAAGACCAAAGAAAACCATAATTAGTGTCTGAAACTCTGTATTGTGTACAGAATAGAAGAACCATGTTGGGTGGGCACAGCAGAAGTGGGGATGTGTGTTGTCATGGTTACATAGGCAACAATATCAGCTTATTGGCTCTAATTCCAGCTAATAACACAGGTCCCTCCCAGGCTGGTTGCATACAATGAGCTCAAGTTATAGACCACTCTTATTCTGGGTCCCTAAGGCAGAGACCCTGGGGTGCACTGCAGTTTCTTACCTTTCTAGACTGTGCCAGAATTTACTATAAACCCCACTCTCCTGAAAGTGATGAATGGCCCCAATGTTGTGTACCTGTTGAATGTATGTCCAAACCAGAGCTCCTGGGAGGTGCAGGTGTTTATTTTCTTTTACTAAGTCACATCTGGCTGATTTTTCCCTTGGGACACCTTGTTTCTGATGTCCTATGCCTCAATACTGACCATGTGAAGCCAAACACACAAGGCTAGTTGAGGCCCCCATCCAGAGAAAAAGGCACCTTCAGGACTATTAGCTTATGTTGAACTTGCAACTTCAGGGACTCCTCCTTTATGGGGCTGGCCTTCATGGGAAGGGGACAAACTGAAATATAGATGGATAAACAGAGCATTAGGACCGTGTCTGAAAGTGTGTCCTTGCCCCCAGGAGTCCCAGGGCACAGACAGGTTTTAGGATAAATGGGAGCACGTGCCATCCCTGAGGTTCCCTTTCTAGCTGAAGTTTCTGAGATCAATTCTGGCTCTCTTAGGTGGTGTGAGCTTGGGGATCTCAACCACCCCACACACCTGGGGACATAAACTGAGCTCAGCTCAAAGAAAGGTCTGGGACTCAATGGCCCTGTAAATCTCTGTAGCTCATCTTCACTCTGTGAGGAAGCAGCAGGCAGGTGGGCTACTCCCTCCTGCCCTCTTGGACCTTACACTTGGTGTGTAGTTCCCTCTGTGGTCAAGGCTGTAATGAACTCATATTTTCTCCTTCCCTATCAGGCCACAACTTTAGAGCCCTGTGTTTCAAAGAGTCCCTGGGGGCCCAGATGTAACATTCCGTTGATGGAGAGAGTGATTCAGGGTTTCAAGTGGTATGGGAAAATTGGATGACGCTAAGCAGCGAGCTTTGCCCAGACCCCAAATATCATACCATCCTATGAGCTTGTGCTGGACAAAGACAGCTAGTGTTTCTGATATCATCTAAACAACAACAACAAAAACAAAAGATCAGAACACCACTAGAAAGTAACCTCTTCCTGGAAGCTCCCTGTTATCCATCCCTCCAGGCCAGTGAAAGTTCCAGACTGAGGCTAGAACACTCAGGTCTGTACTAAATCAGCAAAAAGCCTCTCTAACCTATAGTCCAACTTTCCCAGCCTGCTCTGGTCCCTCCCAAGTGCCATTGTGAAACATTGGATGCCAAGAACACCCATTTCTGGGGGATCCTCAGTGACCTCTATATGACAAAGTGCAGCCATGGCCCCATGAACATATTTCATCCAATTACATCTTTCTTTCTAGCCGTCCAGTTACTCCCAAGACTGAGATCCAGGGGAAAACAAAAACAAAAACAAAAACCCTTCCTTTCTCAGCTTGTCCCATCATTTTGACGGACAACATTAAATGCTAATAGAAAAACATCTTCTGTCTAATAAAACAAATGCTGACAGGGAGAGGTATGTGGAAAGGCAGCCATATGGCAACTATGATTCTTGTGCCCGGCCATGTTCACAGCAGCATTCTTCGGCAGACAGAGGTGACACTGAGAAGCTCACAGACCAGCATTTAATAAATCAGATGGAGCTGGCACCATCGGGTGCTCCCAGCTTGTAGCAGGATCAGAGCATTTTCTCATTTGCAGACAGGAAGGTGTTTTAGCAGAAAGGGGTTGGATGCCTGTTCTGAAGCGTCAGCCTTTTCTCACTGTCCCTGGTGCCTTCAATGTGTCACCATGTCAGTCTCTCTTCCCCTCAGGTTTGCACAGTGCTTCTCATGTCTCCGCCCTCCGAGATCCCTCTGTCACCTTCCACACTAGATGCTTTGGCCTCTGGCTGCATGGAAGACAAGTGGTCCTGGAGAGTTGTGGTACACTCTCCCTGGGAGGCCAGGCTAGGTGGGGAAAGGCCCGGCTCACACCTCTGTTCTTCCAGGGGAGCCTCCCTGGTGACCAGGTGTGCAGCCTCCTGTCCATCAGTCAGTTGAACAGTTCCCTTTCCCACGGTGTTTAGTTCCTCTGAAGGGAGCTGGGGTAATGGAGGATGATGAAAGTGTGAGCACTGGTTCCTATTGCTTGGCTGTGTTGGGGAGCTGACAGCAGGCTTCTCAGCATCCTCAGGCACTGTCAACGCCTCAGCAGCTGCACAGCTTTCATCTCGCTCCTGCTTCTGAATCTCCCCTGAAAACAGACAAGGGACAGCATCAACACTCTGGCAGCAGATTGGCCTTACCTTTCTCTCCTGTCAACTCCCACCCAACCACCTGCCAATGGCCTTTAAGAACCAATGACTTATTACTCTTCCCCCTTCCAGGCTGGTTGCTGGAGCCCAGGGGATAAAGGACCCATGTTCAGAAGCCAAGCAAGCACCTTCTTCAAACCTCTGCCTTATTGCCAAGGGACCGCCTAATGTCTATGGAAGACTAAGTCTGAGGACAAAGGCTGTCCTTTGGAAGTTGAAGGGATATCTAAGCACATTAGTGACAGAGATTCCAGCTGCCTTCAGAGCATAACGATAGCTTGGGGAGATTTGGTGTCATCCCCACTCATTCTTCATGAGCACTTCACTATCTAAGGGGAATACACCATGTTTGCCCAGCTTCAGATAAAAGGCTATGTGCAAACGGTTTCTAGCTCCCTTCTCAGCACTGAACTCTTCGCCTTAAATACCACTATCAATCAGAAATTCTAGAGATGCAAAGCAGGAGGGAGAAGACAAGGGAAGAGCACTGGGCGCTGTCACCTTGTCCCCATTTCCCTACTCACTTGCTTTATGATCACAGCTTGTCTGGCCTCAGTTTCTCAGATAAGTGAAAGGGAGGACTCTAATGTCCCTCTATGATGTAATAAGTAAGTAATCATGTGACCAGGGAGAGTAAACAGCTCTTAGTACCAGGATATGTGCATTTAATACTAGGCTGTGAGTTTCCCATAAACCAGTATGTTCTAGGACCTAGGAACAACAGTGATGAAGGATACAGAAGATGCAAATCTGGGTGAGTCTAGCATGAGCATAGGTGCTGGTGCAAATCCAAAGACCTTAGGAATACTTCCTGGTACTCCTGATTGCAACCTCAGTAAAACAACGAACACTATAGTCAGCCTGCCACCAGACACGTACAGGGATGTTCTTGGGCTGACTGCTGATTGGGGGACTTAGACTGTGAAAGATTGGCAGGATGCAGAACACATATTCCTTCCATTTTCTCATGTCACACCTTTTGAGGGAGCCTTGCTGATTCCAAGCCAGTTCTGACACCATTCAGGTTTTTTTTTTTTTTTTTTTTTTTTTTTTTTTTTTAAATAAGGTCCTACTGGTCAGGTTCTGATAACCTGTTGCCTTAGTTTCTGAGATTGGCTCACATATATGTATCCTTCCAAATGTGTGACATACCTGTGATAGGTTTATTGTCAACTTGTCTGGGACTTGGGAGATACACCTATGTGTTTGTCGGGCCTTTCCAGAAAGGACTGATGTGTGGGATAGTGACTGGGAAGGAAAGACCTGACCAGAATGTAGGAAGTACCTTCCAGCTGCCAGCCCAGATAATAAACAGAGTCTGAGGAAGGCAGCCTAGTGGGAGTGCAGCTTACATTAGCTGATAGCAGGCTTTCCAGCATAGAGTAAATACCAGCTACTCTCTAGAAACTTCCAGGCATTTCAGCTCCAGGCTGGGACTACTGAAGCACCAAGAATGTGGTCCTCTGCCTGTCTGCTGTTGGACTACCAGTTCCTATGGTCTATCGTAAAGCCTATCCAATAATCCCTTTACCATTTACATATGGACCTTTTTTCGGTTCTGCTCCTCTAGAAAACCCTGCACAATACCCCTTAGTTCTCTGCACAAACTATTCTGTTTCCTCCAGCTCTAAAGTGCTGACCAGCTAGGACTTACTGGGTTGGCCTTTCCGCTAGGAGTTGCTCTACAGACATGACACACTTTATCTTGTCAAACTTTGGTCCATGAGATCAGGAGCGTCTGAACATCAACTGAACATTCAAGAACATTTTAAAGACAGAATTCAATTTTTATTTTGAGTAGAAAAACAACATATGTGGGAAGAACTGGAGAGGCCTGCCATTACTATAACAAACAACTTACAAAAAGAAAGAGGTGTGGCATGTGTTGGGGTGGGAGTGTTAATGCAGATTGAATCTAGGATCTTGCACATGCTAGGCAACCTCTCTACCACTGAGCCACATCCCTAGCTCTTGGATTTTGGCTCACAGTTTTAGGGGCACTAGTCCAAAATAAGCTGTCCATTGCTTTGTGCCAGGCAGCATGTTGTTGTAGAAGCACAAGATGAAACAAACAAGTTCACCTGGGACCAGGAAGGAAAAGATAAAACAATGAGGGGGATCAGTCCCATTAGCCTCTTCAAGGGTGTGCCCAAATGCCTGATGACATTGCTCTAGGCCCCACTTCATAATTGTTCTACTTTGTCCCTTTCCTGATTTTGATTAATGTCCTGGGTCTATCTTTAACTCCTCCCTTGTGAGGTCTGTAGGCTCAGATCCTCCTTCTCCATTCAGTCCCTCTGTCTCCTCTGTGGCATATGTTTCCACCAGCCACAGCCTCCCCCCCCCCCCCCCCCCCCCCCCCCCCCCCCCCCGCTCTGCTTGTGGTTTCTCAAATAGCAGTTTTCTTCTGTTTTGAGTCTACTACTGGGTGCACACAGATTAATGTCTTATTTTGTGGCTGGTAAAGAATGACCACCAACTTAGTGGCTTTAAAACATACATTTTTCAGAAGTCCTCTGTCAGTCTCCTTGGCAGGTCAGGAGCACAGTCCCTGCGTGACTCTAGGGCACAATCCATTCTTCACTTTCCTCAGATTTTGGTGGCTTCTTGGTTTGTGGCAGAATTCTTTCAATGCCCATCTCCTCAGACACATCACCTGGCTTATCTATGTGGGCCATACCTCTCTCTTGCCTCCATCTTGTGTGGTGATCTATTTAGGACCCAGCTGTACAATCCAGGATCTTCTCACCTTACTACCCATAGATGAATCCCATCTTCAAAGTGCTTTCATCATGGGGATAAGGCCGATGGGTCCATTGGAAACCCCTGAGAACATCCTTTAGTCCTCTACATACATATGCCCTCTGTATTTCCTTTGTTGACCTGTTGTCTACTCCTGCCTCTTTGAGGATACCTTCCTAGGTATCTGTCCTGCTTCTTCTTCCTTCATTCTATTCAGTTATTAGCAATCTAACTCCTGCCCACAAGGACATCTCTCATGCCCGATCACCATGCTTCCCATAGGAGATGTAGACTCATGATTCTAGAGTCCGGTTAGACCCACCCCACCCCTACAACCTGCCTGGAAACTGCTGTTACATTCTAGAAATACTACACACACACACACACACACACACACACACACACACGTCTCCTCCCATTAGCCATCTCTGCATTGCTCTGTGATCACATGGACTTCAGGACTTCAGGCTTCAAAGCCACATGAGTGTCCTTCCTTATCTTTTTCACCATTTGAGAAATGTAAAGTCCCAGCTCTGTCCTTTAGCACTGCAAATGGAACCCTGTGTCTCTCCAGATTCATGGGTTCCACCTCCCCAACTGGAAAGGGGGTATTTGGAGGTGAGACTTTGGAAGAGGTTTAGATGCATCATGGATATGGCTCACTCACCATGGATTCAATACCCTCATAGGAAGAGGAGACCAGAGCCTTCTCTTTCTCCAGCATGTGAGCACACAGCAAAGAGGGGAGAGAGCCCTCATCAGACACAGGATGTACCCAGCCTTCAAAACTAAACTCACTACACAATGCAGCCAGATTGCTTGGCTCTGTTCTACAAACCCATGATGATCGAGACTCAGGGAAATGCTTCTGGCAGCTTGCACGCTCATCCTTCCATGGCATCAGTTATGCCTTGGCTGTCTAAAGCCTCTCTACACCAGGCTTTCTGGTTTGTATCCTCTTGGTTCAGGGACATGTGTCCCTTGCATCTCAACAAACAGGTAAGTGACACAGGAAAAAGTGCACCCAGCCCTGGACTTCAAACAGGTGTCAGGTGTGTTAACTGTGTATGAGGATAAAGCAGATTTGAGAGGATTCCTTCTGTACATTAGACATGTTAGATATTTTAAAACACAAACTATATAGTATGTTAGGTAAGATATAACATGAAAAGTGGGTATAATGAAAAGGTTGAGCTAAAAATGCAGCTTAGAATTTCGGCAACATGTGATAATTTTTTATATCTATGATCCATTTTAACACAATGCATGAAAGTATTGATGGATATGAGTGGTAAGGGATAGGAATTTTGAATACATCTATTTAATTAAGTAAATATTAATTTGGGGGGCATTCAGTTACCTAGCATGCATTTAAATGTTTAAGAAATTTTGAAATAGCAGTAAGGTTGACAGAATCTATTTGTAGATTTCAAAACAGTTGGTAGAGAGGCTTTTGCATGTCCCTAACACCTAAAGCATGGCGAGTATCTGAGGTGGTGAATATACCAACTGCTCTGATTTGGTCTTTATGCATTATATCTAAGTCTGACATGTCACATGGCATCCCATAAGTCATAACTAAGTACAGTCATTATGTGTCAGTTTAAAATATTTTTAAAATGTCTGAACCCTAGCTAAAGCAGAACTGAGGAGCTCCAAAAGAAACTAAACTGAGTCAGGCACTCTACAAGGCTTAAGTGATACCACCAAGATGAAGAGGATAGCTCACACAGAAAGAAGTGATACTGTAGTGGTAAACACAGTGATACCACCAAGATGAAGAGGGTGGCTTGCACAGAAGGAAATGATGCTGTAGATGGTAAACACACTAGAACCACTGGGAGGGGACAATGGGCTTCACCTGAGCAAGGCAATCATTGCTTCTTGTCCCCAAACCTCTTCCATCTAGTTCTCCTGATACAAAATGGATTTTTTTTCACATTAGAGGAGCCATCTCATTTTCCTCAGCCTTTTGGATAACCACAGAGGACTCTACAGACAGACTCTTGACCAATATTTTTCCCCTCTCATTTTCAAGTCTGAATTCAGTCATGGACACCTTGGGTCACTCTTCTCTGCAAGTCTTATCCTGGAAAACAAACCCAGTACTTGTCCTTGTCCTTACAGTGAAATACATGAACACATATATGAGTATAGCAGGCTTTGACTTGGAAAAAAATTGCCTGTTGTGATGATCTGTTCAGCAGAGATAACAGTGTGTGAAATTCCCAAGAGAGTCATGCTCCAATCCACACTGCCAAGCCAGGTTCTCCATACGGCTTTGCCATTCTGATTGGGTCTATGGACTTGCACCTGGGAGCTTGTCAGAGCTACAGGGTCTTAGGCTCCACCCCTCATCTACTGGTTTCAGAATGCCTACTCATAAGGTCCCATGTGATGGGGGGTTCCCATTACAGTGTGAGAAGCACTGGGACCTTGACACACAAATCTCACCATGTCTTCCTCTACATGGAAAACCTTCAAAGGCTGCAGATTCTGGGGAACACAGCCAAAGCTTGCAACCTAGTGTTCATGCATTCATGAGCTAACACCCATTTCTCTTTTTATCTGACATCCCTGCTCCGCTCCTTGTATCCCTCCATCCAGCCACATCTGTCCCTTTTGGTACTGCACCTTCCCCCAGGGCCTTTGTTGATTCCCATTGTCCCTGGAGCCCTCATCCCCCTCTCCATTCCAAAGGGAGCCTTTGGAGGCAGCCCAGCCCCCTTCTTCTCTGTGTGGATTAAATCTGGCCATAAGCTCTATTCCTAGTTACGGCTTCCCACGAGGTGGTCTAGACCTCCTGAAACTTAGAGGGTTTTTTTTCCCACCTCAAATTGTTACTTATAACTAACTACCTTAAGTACAAAATCTTGCCTGATTAATTTTTTAACTTTGCCAATGTTCTATGGCAAAGACTCAATAAATAACTTACTAAGTGCTTGAATATATGGACTTATACATGTATTCATGAAAAAGCGAATCTATTAGCATACATCCTAAATACCATGCATCACTTTGGGAAAGAAACTTAAATTTACAGTATTCATTTTAGGGTATATTCAGATAACAACCCTGAAACTTCTCAAAATGGTACTTTCTGCGAAGAGATAGAGATGTCTAACTCCTACAAATATTTGGCTACATCCAAGGCAGCTCGGGGAAGTGATCACATCAATTTCAAACTAACAAATGAAAACTCTTACTGTGGTTGTAGAGGGTCGCGTGAAACACTGAGTCAACACTGATCACGCTCCCAGCAGAGGGGGAAGCGTTATTCAAAGGGAGAGAATTATGGTGTGTCCTACAGCTACATTTTTCAGCAGTGCGAGATGAATAAACTCCTTCTGGAAATTACTCTCATGAAATTACTTCTCCTGAGACAGTTAATAGTATATTCTGGTGCCCCCGAAAAATTAATTAACCTTCCTCAGAAGAACCTCACCCCTAAACCATTGGCAATGTGTTTTTACTGTGGGTCAGCCGAGACCTTTGCCACCCTCATTTACATCTAAGGGAAGCTGGTCTAAATTATGCCAGGGTCTTTTGGTTGCTGGTGCTTTGCCTTGTGCTATTTCCTTGTAGGATATTCCAATTCTGTCTAGATGTGTGAATCTTGTCATCATCTATCTCTCCCTTCCCCACCCCTTCTCCTCTTCTTCCTTCTCCTTCTCTACCCCCTCCTATTTTAATGAAAAGCCTTTGAGGTTACCAGGGAAACATTTTTATTTTAAACTTTTGTTCAGGGGATGACAGGAAGTCCCATAGGCTACAGAGCAGCCACAGGAAGGGGATAATGGACACCCAAAGAGGATGAGGGACACCAGAAGGAGATGGTGGACTCCTGAAGAAGATAATGGACACTAGCTTTGGTTCTGTTGTCTGCTCCTATTTGCTTCGCTGGATAGCACATCTTGGGACCAGAAACAATACAGGTTCTGGAAATTGACACTGTTGGTACAGCAGGATTTACCAACCCCTCCTTTTTTCTTGCATTTATCTAGAGGGCACCCAAACAACATGCTTAAGTCAATTATCAGTACACACAGAAAACTTCTTAAACATGTGACAGCCATCATGCCTTCACTAGGACCTCTGATCCTTTGCTATGGAAACCAAACCTCCTTGAATGCTAAGATTCAAGGTGTTAACTCTTAAGTCAGCCATAGGAAGCTTTGCTTTCACTTTAATTACAGACTCACAGCACTGACATCTCCATAAAAGACTTATGAATTAGCCAAAAGTTGGAAAATATTATTGCAAAAAGTAGTAATTATTCTGGGCTGCTGTCACAAACAGAATTAATATCATTAATACTAATTAGTCACAATACACACATCAATAAGGATGAGGCAAATGCTTCATGACAGAGTGGGAAGAAAAATATTGTTTCTTTTTCTCTAAAAGATGAAGAAGAAATAGTGTTGTAGAAAAGATTGCTAGTCCCCTAAAATGTATCCCCCACCCTTAGGCCCAAAGGGGACATTTGTCATCTTTTGTTGGCTGGCTGGCTGGGCTTTGTTGTCCTCCTGCATGTGGCAGCTTTCAGTTGGAATTAATCAGGCCACAGCAGTGATGAGGCCATTGGGACATTGACAGCCTCTCAGAGAGCGTGTCCTTGTTCCCACCCAGAGCTGGCTCAGGACAGACAGGAACAATGCGCACTGATGAAGGGACTCTGGAAGCTATCATTCTGAATCAGTCCCTCATGCAGGCTGCCCTTGTGAAGATCAAGACAGCTCCTTCCAGTACAGTAGGCCCAGGCCACCCAGAACAGTCAGAGGCTTTGGCGCCCCATGAGGACACAGGCTGCCAGCATGCTGTGACCACTAGCCACAATACAAGGCCACAGTGCACTGGAGACCAGTATTACAAGCAGCACGTGCTACAGGCTGTAATGACCCAGTTTTGCTTTCTGGCCAGTGTGGATTCACCAGGGTAAAGGTCTGTGTCCAGGGATTCTCCCATGAGTACTTGAAAATATTTCTTTCGAAAATCTAGAAATGTCTTCTCCTTTCACTGCTCTGCCCTGTGGTGAGCAATCTGAATAGTGAGAAGATGCTGGGTGAACCTTGCTGGCCCCAGCTATGGTGGGCAGAAACACCTGTCTATCACAGTGAATCCTACATGGTCCTACTAATGCTCCGAGTTCTAAGTTGTGAACTGGCTGGTTTCACAGCACAAGCTAATGACAGAGCTGGTCAGCCCATATTGCTAAAGGGTAGTTCAATCATCAGGGGAGGAGGTTGGGCTAGATCACACTGTGGAACTGAGATGTTAAGTCAAGACAGCTAAGTGTAACTTGGAAACTCTGAGCAAGGTGAAAATGGGACCGCAAGGTATCACTATGGGTTGATCCTACAGCTGATGAATGAAGATGGGAACTGAGTATGGACAGGTCAGATGGTGAGGAGCCTCCAATGACACAGTAAGCACCCAGACTGAGCCACAAGTAGGATGCCCAAGAAACCCTGCAGAAAGACTTTGGTTACAGGTCAGTGTGGATGGGGAAGAGATACTGACAGGAGTCAATGACTATAAGGTTTCAAGCCTGAGTCACCAAAAAAAAAAAAAAAAAAAAAAAAAAAAGAGGAAGCAAGAAGAGCTGGTGATGTCACACCAAAGAAGCCCACAGGCTGCTGGGAAAGTTCAGGATCTGAAATAAATTGTAGTTGCAAATAGAAGTGCGTGAGTGTGTGTGTGTTTGTGTGTGTGGATATGGGTGTGTCTGTGAGTGTGTGTGTGTGCGTGCATTTAAGTATGGGGTGAGGATGTCTTCATGGAGTCCTACAGTAGCTGTAGAATGAGGCCCTGCTGGCACTGACATGCACTCTGTAGAGGGTACTGACCAGGAAGAGAGAGCAGACCTGAGAGACACTTACCATCCTTGGTGCTCTCCTTGTTCTCAGTGGGTTGTTCCACAAATTTCAACAGTGGGGACCTTGACCTCTGTATGGTGGTTAGAGTCTGGTCACTGAACAGTATAGTGTCCTTGCCCCCTATGAGGAAGATGGGAAAATTGGCTTATCAGTCACTGGTTTAGCTGGGTAACCTTTACAACCCATAACAGTTTTCATTGTTAACTTGATACACCATTGAATTGCCTGGGAAGAGTCTCAGTGAGTGGCTGCCTTGATCAGGTTGGCCTCTGAGGTATTGTTTGAACTACACTGATTGACATGGGAAGACCAGCCCACTGTGGGTGGCACTATTCCCTAGTCAGGGGATTTGGACCATATAAAAGAAAATGAGCTGAGCATAAACATGCACACAGTCTCCCTCTGCCCTTAAGTGGGGATGTGACTAGATGCTTGAAGTTCCTGCCACAATCTAGAATTGTAAGCTGAATGCAACCTTATTCTCCCAAGTTGCTTTGGTCGAGATTTTTTTAATCATAGCACCAGAAATGAAACTAAGACACTCCACACAATGAGCTAGCTATTTGGTTAAGGAAACTCCTTCAGTTGTGGGCAGTACAAGTAAGTAGTCAGTAGGCCTTTCTCTAGTATGTGAATAGAGTATGGATCTTCTATCCATGATAGAAGACCTTTACTCATTCCCCAGTGGCTACTCTGGAACAGCTGCCCACAAGTGCTACCAGTAAAGAGAAACCTGAATGCCTGCAAAGAACTGGGCAGTTGGGTGGGACAACAGCAGTGGCTGCAGCAGGGAGCTTGGGAGGGACACTACATTAGCTGTGCTGTGGATATAATCACCTGCTCACAGGGTGACCGTGAGAGTGTCACCTTCCCTCTCTAAACATCGAATTTTTCATCATGGGTAGTTGTGAAGATAAAATGAAACGGTCAGGGAAAGGCCTTGGGTATTTAGAGAACATTCAGCAAACATCATGTGCTGAAATCATCAGCACAGACTCCCACACACCTGATAAATGTCCCAGTTGCATCTGGTCATGTTAACCATGGAACTGTCACAAGTCAGCTGGCATTAAGTCCTCCACATTAACCTAGCTGTATTCCCACTTGGAGTATACATTCAGTTTAACCCACTACCTATTAGTGTGAGTTCCCATTAGAGGGTAGAGAGGTGTGAAGTGGATGAGAGGACAAGGGAGAGGGCACCACATTTTCACTGCAGAAGGCAAATGGGTCATGCAGATGAACAACAGGGGGAAACAGCTTCATACATGAGCATGTCAAACTGGCACCAAATGCATGGAAGAACAGTGCCCTTATGAGGTTGTAAGAGTCCATAGGCATGCTATGATGCCAAGTCTTGGCTTGAAAAGCTTAAGGGTTCTCTGGGTGGAAACCATTGGGCCTGAAACAAAAGCTCCAGGTCACAAGAGCAGCTTGGGCTCCAGTCTGGCCTACAGTGACTCCTCACAAAAAACAAGAGACTTCTGCAAAAATGTGAGGGAAGTGCATGTAGAGAAGACAAGAAAGCCAGCCTTCACCTATGCCAGTAGAAGAGAACTGAGAAGACATGCCTCCCTAAACTCTTGCCTGGAGATGGTGCCTCCATATTAGCATCATTCTGAGATCTGGTCACCCTTGCCATGCTTCCTTCCTTAGAAGGTTCCTGGTTCAGCAGCGTCTGCTGGTCACCCTTGCCATGCTTCCTTCCTTAGAAGGTTCCTGGTTCAGCAGCTCTCTGAAGGTCTGGAGCTGGCTGTGGCCACTGGACTGAGGTCTAATGGACAGTCTGGTTGCCTGAGATTTCTTCTGGCTTCCACTTAGAGGAGATGGTGCGTCGGGGAGGGAATTCTGCACACTAGGTCAAAGGACCACTAATGCCCAAGGCCACACAGGCTTCTCATTCAGCTGGTGCTTGAGTGGCTGCAAGCTCTACTGATTCCATATGGCACCAAAGTTCTCACTCCTGCCTCTAAAAATGAACCAAGTACTTTCAACCCCCAAGTTTTCCTCCTCAGGCTGATGCCTTGTAGTAGACACAGGCTGAAAATGAAAAGCTCAAAAAGCCAGATTATAGCCCGTAGATGGATTGTTTTCTGGCTTTCAGTATTTCTGTGGATTGTGTCTGTGCTTCCTCAGCACAGACCCCCCCTCCCTCTTCCTCTGTCCCTCTCTCTAGCTCCCTCATCCCCCCCTGTGTGTGTGTGTGTGTGTGTGTGTGTGTGTGTGAGAGAGAGAGAGAGAGAGAGAGAGAGAGAGAGAGAGAGAGAGGGAGGCAAAGAGGGACAGAGGGGGGCTATGTGTCATCACTCTTACATGGGAATCAGAGGACAATAGTAGAAAGAGGGACAGAAGGGGGCTATGTGTCATCACTCTTACATGGGAATCAGAGGACAATAGTAGATGTTGCTCTCGCTTCCCACCTTATTTGACACTGGGTCACTTTGGCATTTGCTATGCACATCCTGCTGTCTGGCCCATGAGCTTCCAGGGATTCTGTTTCCCATCTCTTCTGGCCTTTAGAGCACTGGAATTACAAATATGTGCTAATATGCTTGGCTGTATGTGGGGTCTGGGGATCAAACTCATGCTGGTACAGCAAGCATTTTACCAAAGAGTCAGCTTCCAGCACATGGTGTTTCCTTGTAGAATATGAACACATCCAGACAACACTCCTCAGAGCTACCTATATAGATCTGAGAAGACCTGAGGGAAGGATGCCAGCAAGTGGGAGTAAAGGTATCTATCGTGGCTAGAGAGCATGGCTTGCAATACCTACCCTCTGGCTTCTTTGCAGTATCCCATAGCTTTGTTACTATCAAAGCACAGGCCAAACAACTTGAATAGTCCCAGCTATCTAGATAACTTCTCTCTATAGCCTGACATTTATCAAATACGTTTATTCTCCAGCAAGATCACAAACTGACTCCAAGCCTAGCAACCACTGTTGAAATCTCTATGATGGGGCTGGTATATCTAACTTATTGGTAGCAAGCTTGACTAGCATGTATTTGTTCTTGGGTTCAATCCACAGCACTAATGAACACAGTGTGACAGTGAGTGCCTGTGATTCTAACACTTGGGAGGTAGAGTGAGGAGAATCAGAAGTTCTAGGTCATCCATAACTACTGCAACAAGTTCAAGGCCAGACTGGGCTCTGTGAAACTGTCTAATAAAAATACAACAAAGTAAAACTACATGGTGCTGGTCAGGAAGAGGGGAAAGAGGAAACTCACAAAGCATTCTTCCCCGTGGATTCTTTCCCACAGCCACATCATCTCCCTAGTGCTTCTATCTCAGAAGAAGTTTTTCTGCCTTCTGGATTCCTCCTCTCTGGTCCAGAAACCAGTATCCACTTACATCATTTGCCTATGTATCTTGGCTCAGAGCTATGGTCACCCAGCATCCATAAAAGATGTATGAAACTCTAAATACACAAACCTAATGCCATCTTCTATGACCTGTGTGTCATCTAACTCTCCCTCCCCCACTGTGTCCTGTTCTAAAAGGAATAGCTTAGGAAAGGAGAAAGCGTTCTTTCACATGTCAGCTCTGACACATCCATATTGGATGTTGGCCAATATGGAAGACTGATGCCACATTAGCAAGGAAAAATGCTAAGATAGATTAGCAATGTCTGTCACTAGTGTGAGAATGGAGTATATACTACATACACACCAAGTATTTGTCATCCTGAATTTTCTTGTTCTTAACTGTTTTTAACTCTACCCATCATCTCCCTAGTGCTTCTATCTTGGTCACTCATGCTGCACTAAACCCTCAATACTTTGTTTTCTCCATCAGTGCTTAATGGAGATTCATCTTACTTCCTTAAGAAGACTATAGGTATATGGAGGGCAGGGGTGGGTTGGCCTGGCATGGTATTCATAAAGCTGAAGCTCAAAATAGGTACCAGACCATAAACAAAGTGATTTACTGGAGACTTTGCTCGTTCCTTTTGAAATGCTGGTAAATAAGACAATTCTCGAAAACCAATAGGACTCAGCACCTTCCATTGTGAAGTAGCTGCTGCTTGTGGAGAGGATGAGAAGAAATGGAGGAGGCAGAGGAGGTGTGAGGGCGAGAGAACACATTGCTTCTTGCAGTAGCTTAAATGGAGACACGTAAGAGCAGGAGTAGGGGAACTGCTGTGACTCACACAGGAAGAGTCACCCCACTCCCTGTCCTTTCTCTCCAGGACTACAAACACCCCAAGACAAAGCTACATCCATATATCCCGTCACTCATGGCCCAAAGCAAGGCTGTTGCAATGACAAAAACTATATCTAAAGGGGAAAGTGCTACTCCTGTCCTGTGCCCCCATTTGTATCTGTGTGGTGGCCAGAGGCTAGAACCCCTATGCCCACAGCTTAAAACCCACTGAGGCTGGTCCTTCAAGTTAATTGTACTCATAAATGTTTGCTTTACACTAACTGGATTCCCTATTTCAGTAAGTAATTTTATCTAGAAAATTCACAGAAAGGTGGATAGCAAATTTCTACAATTCACATACATGGATGATAGAATGTGTTCCCAATTTAGCCACAAGAAACCCCAAATATTTGAAAATGAACATACTCCCAAATCCAACTGAAACATTGTAGCTCAGGCCTTCGGCAGCAAAAAGAAGGGAAAAACAGTCATTATTGCAGAACAGCCATTTGAAGTCCCACCTGACCAAACAAATACCAGACACAGGAAATTCCCAGCATTGATTCACCCATTCAACTTCCATTTTTTTACATAAATCACACAAATGAAACAGTGAGAAAATTCACAAAGTCATTCTTAGAGGGGGGAAAAAAACCAAAGCTTTGGTACATGCACAAAAACAGCAATTTGACTGCACAAATAAATGACAAATTTGTCTGTCTGTGTTGAAATTCAATGCAGTGAAAGAAAGGCCTTCACAGAAGCTGAGGTTTGAACATCATCAAAAGCGGCTGATGCAAAAGGACCATTCAAATCCCCAGGACGGCACTCGCCACTAATTAGTTCTGTGAGGTCTTTTGACATCCAGTTCAAGGAATCTCTGTGAAAAATTCCAATTTATGAAACACACTCTCAGGCAACCTAAGGCAGCTATTCAGATTTCCACCAAGGAAAACGTGATGTTGTCCACCTCCTCTCCCGGGGCAATTTTCATTTCTCATCCGTACAGGAATGCAGCCCACAGGAGCTGAGGGAAGAGACCGCTCCACACTGAAAGGGTAAGGCACTAAAAATACCCAGACAATGTTCCTTCCAGGGAACCAGGAGGCGGTAGAAAATGATAAATATAAGTTTCCAAACAGCGTAAAGACAAGGCGAAGAACTGACGGGGTCTCCTGAGAGGGGTATTTTACTGGGATAAACGGGATAAGTATAGCTCATTAGAAAGAATCACCTTGGCTTCTCACACATTGGACAAATGTGGGGAGAAAAATCTCCTCAGGAAATTTTTGTTTTCAAGCTACATAAAACTGTTGGGAGGAGGAAGGCAGGAGAAGGTGGCTGTGAAGTACATCTGGGTTGGAGAAATTGTTGGCGCTTCATTTTTAGTACTGGTGATTAAACTGAACAAATCTTTGTGTGGTTTTACATTCCATTTTAGGGCTGATGATTAAATTGCACAAATCTTTGTAAGATCTGATATCCGTTTTTTAGGACTGGTGATTACATTGAGCAAATCTTTGTATATTCTCCCATTCGTTTTAGGAGGGAAGGTTACATGGAACAAATCTTGATGACTACTGATAAATGAAACAACTCATGGGCTTTCACAAAGGTTAGTGTGTGTGTGTGTGTGTGTGTGTGTGTGTGTGTGTGTGTGTGTGTGTGTGTGTTTGAGAAGTTAGGCTACCTAAACATCAGTGCCCCACTGATGAGATTTTGAAAATTTACTGTCTATTTCTCAATTTATCCCTTCCATGGACTTGTCATTGGACAGTTTCTCAATTTGAAATATTGTGTGGTTGTTTCTCAATAGTCTCCAAATCAAAGGGCCTCAGACAGGCAGAATTTTGTTGCAAGTTGTGTGAGAGAGGTCTTTTTAAAAGTGAACAAATTCCTAAACAAGAAGAAAGCCACAGCCATTCACAGTTTCTTCTTACCTGGAAGACTCCACAGTCCAGAAACTTCCAGAGTTCTTAGCTTTTTCTCCAGCTCTGCCACTCGATTCCCTAGGATCCTGGAAAAGACAGGAAAATACTAAGAGGAGACTGAGTCACCTATCAGCGCTTAGACATGGGTGGTAGCTAATGGGGGAGTAGATAGATTTAAGAACAGTGCTAAAAATAGAGCAAGTGGGTACACTCGAACACAATACACAGTCTATTGGAAGTTCATGTGGAACACACACACACACACACACACACACACAGGCTATTCAGTTGAGTTCTGTTCCACAAGGCAATACCCTGGATGTTAAACAACTATTTATCACTGCCCAAAACATTGTAAGGAATTCCCATTTGAAAATTGTTTATTGCCAAATATGACAAGATTTTGAATGTCCTTAGTAGCAGCAGACCCTTATTCTGTGAGAGCAGGTTTGATTTTGGAACCAGTAGAGGGGCACACTTGGAAATGTTTCTTCTGAGGCAATAAAGTAACAAGATCAGCTTTCAAAGACCCCCACTAGGTCTTACTGACACAGATGCCCTAGATATCAAGAACCATGTCTAATACAGCGTAGGTGGTCAATAAATGTGTGTTTATAAATGTGTGTAATTAAACACAGATTTTTTTCTTTTTTCATAATCTGCAATCATATGTGGAAAAAGTGAATAATATGAATTTCAAAAGAGTTTTCAGTGGGATTATGAGATGGCTCTGCAGGTAAAGGCATCTGCTGGCAAGCTTGACAATCTAAGTTCGAACCCCAGGACCCACACGGTGGAAGGAGAGAACCAACTCTTACCAGTTTTCCTCTGCCCTTCATATACCAGACATGGCACATGTGTACCCTACTCCCAACACACATAAGTAAATAAATCTTAAAAACAATTTGGGATTGGGATTTGGGAACCACCAGGATAATGGGGTTGTTTTCCAAATGACCATTCGGACTCACTGTGATATCTAAGTTCTGAAATGTGTAGCAGAAAAGATCAGACTGTGTGCTTGAAAGGCAGGCTTTGTGTAGATGCATAGGTAAACATCCGTTCATTCCCTCCAGACATTAAACATAGCCGAGACATGATCGATACTCATCTAAAACCTTGCTTTCCAGTGGTCTGGAATTGGAAACCAGTCTTTATTTTTATTTGGGGATTTTCTTGGCACTGCTGTGCTGAAATGACATGAAAATCTCCTTAATAGCAAATTCTCAATTCCTTTCAGTGGGGAAAAATTAGAGCAGCAAAATTATTCTCCTACGTCTCTTTCTATTCCAGAGATAGCTGCACACACCCACATACATTCAGAGCCATGAATATGCATATAGCTGCACATATATACAGCTCGGTTCATCCTGATTTTACCTGAATCGACCTGCAGCATCTTAATCTTCCCCTGGAGTTCACAGGGAAACTGGCATTGATCTACATGGCTTCCTTCATCTAGTTACTACAGCCCATCTCTTCCTCTTTTCCTCAAATCTTGCACTCTGCATAGTGCACATCAACTATTTCAATTTCCGCATCATCTGTTGGGTCTGTTTTGCTTTCATGCCCTTGACCCTTCCATGGACACCGTTGCTCCTAATCTGCTTTCCAATATTTTGCACAGAGCTTCTGATCCTAGCTCTCTTCCTCACAGGTGATGGGTCTGACAAGCAATCACAACAGTACTTTCGTTTGTTTCTTAATGAGATGAGATCACATGTCTGCAGCTGTCTCTTAGGACAAAGCTTAAGGCTTCACTCCTCAATGGCGCTGAGGGATGCCCTGAGCTGGGTTTATAGGTAGAGTGCAGGCTTTGCTCATGCTGTTTCTGGATAATCCAGCCATTTCTCATAGAAATGGAATGTGTGAAGTGGCTGGTACCCCTTGCTTGAGTTTTTCAGTGGTAGCTGTATTCTTTGGTCTGATACCAGCACCCGGATGCAGGGCTAGGGGTAGTAAAGGATTTGCAGAGAAGTTGTGGGGATGGCAACAGCAGCAACAGAACCACTAGAAGTAGTAGTGACTGTAACACTTTAAAAGTCTGTGCTCATGGAACTATAGATATAGCCATAGGTGATGTGCAAAATACAACCTAGGATGCTTTGTATAACTGGAAGGGATCTCCTGCCTGACCTCCTATATCGGCTTAGGGAGGAGTTATGGGAGCTGGTATAAGAGGCTGTGAGAGCCACAGTCACTGGCAGCTCTCACGATGGAGAGAAGCGTAAGAACAAATGTAGCTGAAGAAGTTTGACTGATCCAAAACCAGCTTCTGGGATCCACCTCTGTGCTACAGGCTGGAGGGGAAGCTGAAAGGAGAGGATCCTGTCCCTACTGCTAGAAACCAGCAGTCTGTTAGCAGATACACATGGACAATGTGTTGGGGAGCCTAAGGACAGCTGATAAATATCCAGAATTTGTTCCAAGTCAGGTGTTATGCCCTTGAAAAACATACACACTGCCCTAACTTTTTATTTGTTTGGTTTGTTTTATTGCTTTTCTGCAACATCTGGGTAAGTGGTCCTCGATTTATAAATGAGAAACTTGCAGCTCACAGAAGACAATGACTTACTCAGGGTCTCACGGCTAATAATCAGAGGGACTAGACAAAAATGAAGCCTGCAAGCACACAAGTCTAATAAATGCTGAGAGAAAAATTGATAAGCTAAGAGAAGGGCAGAACCAGAGAGGCTGGTAGGGCCTCTGATGGAGAAGGAGCCTGTGGCCATGCTGAGAACACTCTGACTTTTCATCAAAGTTCTGCTGAGCTGCTAAGGTCTTCTAAGCAGCAGAGAGAAGTTTAAGAAGTGGTCCTCTCATGAAGTTGAGAACAGACAAGGATTAGAAGTAGAGGCAGAAGATCACTCGGTTGGAAATCATCCAGGAAGATGAAGATGTGCCCAACAACCAAGGGATATGCAGGAGAGCCAAAGGAACAGGGCTACAAGGAAGAAGAGGAGGAGCTGAGACTGTATTAAAGATGCACAACCACATGGCAACTTGTGGAAGAGATAATCATCTGATCATGGGGCCAAGGAGATCTACTCTTGCCAATGGAGTAAAGCAAGAACCAGAGAGTGGCAAGAAATGGCTGTGTCAAGGAAAGGAACAGGGGCAAGGCAGAGCCTGGAAGTCACTGGGAGAGAAATGCTAATGGGAAGGGTCCGCTTCTTCCATGAAGTGTGTGGGAGACGTGACCTACCCTGGGGTGGGGTGCCAGGAAGATAAAAGGAACTCGGGTTCCCAAGTGAGAAGCTAAGACAGTCTGACAGGTTAGCGGACAGGAAGATGAGTCTGCTGGGAAGACTGCCAGTAGCACAGAGATGTAGTCAGGGCAGGAGCTGAAGGTATACTTGGGCCTGGGAGAGAGGGTTTATGGTATGGATAGGATAGGAGGGGTGTTTGTTTGTTTGTTTGTTTGTTTGTTTGAGACAGGGTTTCTCTGTAGCTTTGGAGGCTGTCCTAGAATTTGCTCTGTAGACCAGGCTGGACTTACAGAGATCTACCTGCCTCTGCCTCCTGAGTGCTGGGATTAAAGTAATGCACCACCACCGTCCTGCTTGTTTTGTTTTTAAGGTTGTTTTAAGGTAAATAGGAGAGATTTTGGTATATGTCCCCCTCCTGCCCCTTAGTCTAAAAAAATCCTCTAGATGTCAGACCCCCTAGTGACTTTGTACCATGGTTTCTGATGACATTCCTGGGGATCAGCAAAGAATTGAAGGAGCTAGCCTGTCTGGTAGAATTCCTAGGTGAGGGTCCAGACGATCCCCAGCCTGAGGGGAAACTGTGGCTCTCTGCACTACCTGTCATGCCCCACCTGGGGGCCTTTGAAACTCTGCTGTGATCTAGGACATCACTGTTATATGAGATTTAGAAAATTTAGCTCACTTACCATCAGCTAGGGAAGCATGAACGATGTTATTGAATTAGCCACCTGGCAAGGACAGGCAGGCACTTTAACAACCATCCCCTGTGCTGTAGCACCAGCCTGTTAGGGACAGGAACCTCCTCCCTTCTTCAATGATAACCAGGTAACGGCTAATGCATCATCAAGAAGCACAGCCAACAAACAGCCAAGCCATTGAGCATCACTCAAACGTAAAATCCCATGGTACTTAGCATGTCATCAGATGGTTCCCACAGGACCCTCTGCCTGAAGGGGGCCATTGTCAAAGCCAGTAGGCAGAGTGTAAAATCCCATGGTACTTAGCATGTTATCAAATACTTCACACAGGACCCTCTGCCTGAAGGGGGCCATTGTCAAAGCCAGTAGGCAGAGCAGGAGCTTCCAGAAGGGAAGGTCTTTAGTCCTGAGACGCTACATCACCTTAATAAAGCCTTTTCTTTCCTTCTTTCTTTCTTTCTTTCTTTCTTTCTTTCTTTCTCTCTCTCTCTCTCTCTCTCTCTCTCTCTCTCTCTCTCTTCCTTCCTTTCTTCCCCCTCCCCCCTCGTTATAAGGCTAAATCACGAAGGGTACCAGCGAGCTGACCAAATTCACATTCTGCTCTCAGTCCTTCATTTATAATCCAGTTAAATTCTTTATACACCTCCAGGAAGTATGAAACAGAAGGCCTTCAAAGTACCAAAAATTGGCACATTTAACATTCCTTTGTGCACCAATATGATGCTACATCTGCAATCTACTGTTACAGGGGGAAAAGCAAACCAAAGAACAAAGGCACAAAGTGTGCCCCTCCCTTTTCTGTGATAAAGAATAGCTGCTTTTTGTTTTTAAAAATCCATAAATATATGAATACTTAGGTGTTTCTTCATGTACTGTGCCTTTGTTTGCATGATTTGAAGGTCATGTGGAACACAAGAAATGGTGGCTTCTCCCAAGAAGGGGATTTGGACAGCTGATGTGTATGGAGACCCATGGTTATTTAACCAAAACAATCAGAGACTTGGGGGAAAGGCTGACGAGGTCCACGCTGTCCGCTGTCCACCACTGGGCAGATCTGGAGTTTACCCGTCGCTAAGAGCCCAAAACATTGTTTTAAATGGGTAAATATGCAAAGGTATGCTCAAAAACAAAACAACAACAACAAAACCCACAATGAATGGAAATGTCAGCCTCCATATATGGAGAATGTGGTTTGCATCTGGGACCTATGGCTGTTGCAGTGGGGTTCAAAGGAGCCCAGAGTCCCTGGCCAGGGGCTTCCCAGGAGTGAGGAGCAGGCTCACTGCTGGCTTCAGGGGATCCCCAAAGACAGCCCTCCCCCACCAGATTCCTGTTCCTGCTTCCTGAGAAGTGGCTGCAGTTCAGCATGGCTGTTTCATTTTGCAAGGCTGTTGCAAACGTCTCCTGTCAATAAATTACCCTGTCACCCAGGGAGATTGCCGGCCTCCCTTTGATGCTCTTGCTTTCTCCCACATACATCTTCATCTCTGGTACGGTCGTCTCCACACTCCATCATTTCCCTTTTCTCTTTTGTTTTTAAAACACTTTCAATCATTTTCTTGTGGCCTCTTCCCTGGGTGTCCCTGCCTTTGGCAGCCCCAACTCTCAGGTCCCTTCCCTCTAAGTCCAACATCTGTTCTTGCTCAGTTCTTCTGCAGTGTCATTGTGGCTTTGAGTGTAAGTCTTAGGAGCAGGACCACCTATAATTTTCAGGGTTCTGTGCAAGATAAAAATGTGTCCCCCACCCCTGTGAATAAAAAATTATCATGACCTTCAAGATGGTGGTAACAGTATCTGACCAAATGCCAAATCCTTCTCAGAGTAGATTGCATGCATAAAGCTGGCCCTGCTTTGATTCTAATGTGCTCCTGTGTTAGAAGTTGAATTTCCAAGCTCATAGGTCAATGCTAATCACCTTTAGGAGGTGCTTAGAATGTGACACTGTCAGGAGGGTGAGGGCCCCACCATAGCACCAGTGGTTTAGGAGAAGGCTACCCAGGTAAGCATGCTTGCCATGTCTGACTAGGTGGTACCTGGGTCATGTTCAGGTGACATCATGAAGATCATCACCACACACAGTGGCACACTTTTGAATTCAGCCCCCTGAGGTGTGAGAAGTAAACTTCTTATTTTTAAAAATATTCATAAATTACCTAGTCTCGGGTACTCAGTTATAGGAACAGAAATGGATGGTATATATAATATGTATTGCTTTAATTTACTGTTCTTATTCACCATTCTCAGGACATTTTCAGCTTTGCTCTCCTGCTTCTGTCCACTATTTTAACCTACCTTAACTTGCTCAATTTGATACAACATAATCCACACTCACTAACAATCAAACAGGGTGCTCCATCTTATTGACTTTTCCTTTTCAACATCAATTAACTGACAGAGTGACAGGAAGTTTCCCCTCAGGGACAGCAGCCCATAGAAGTTGACAATTGTTTTCCTGGTCATCAGAGACCCTCAGAGTCAAGTCATAGGGTTGAAGGGACACTGAGACAGCTCCCACCTCAAAAGGAGAGCTAAGGAAGAAGTGAGAAATCTGGCATTGTGCTGTGGGAACTACCATGAAACTGGTGTTAATATTGCACAGCTCACTAAGAACTCAAAATTCCTGCTTTATTGACTCTGGTGGATAACTGGGATGCCAATGCAAAGTAGAAGCATAGTTCTGATTTCATCGGGTTCCCCTTCTAGATTTCAGGGATGTTACCTTCTTCCCAGAGTGCCTGTGGTTTACGTCTGGGAGCCTCATTCCCACTCTGCTACCCCCAGTCTAAGGGGCCACTGCACACCTGTTGGTTTGCCTCTGGTGCTGAATGACCATGTTTTTCTCGTGGATCGTCTCCAGAAGGGCTGTGGCCAGAGACTTCAGGTCAGCAATAGACTGTGGAGTAGCTGGAAGGCTGCACCCGTGATCTTCAGAGAGTAGATCCTGGACTAGGGAAGACACAAAGTTGACAGCTCAGTCATGGATTCTGAAATATGGGACTGCAAAACCATGTCAGTTCTTCCTGGACAATGGGTGTCCCAAGCTTTGACATGATACTGTGTTTTCCTGAGAGCCTATCTCAACTACCACCAATAAAACAACATAAAAGTCAGTATCACCGTCAAGTGGAAAAGCCTCAAGGAAGTTGGACTCCCTTTTTTCCTGTGGCTTCTTTTTGTCAAACTGGGATGGAACCCAGGGCTTTGCACCTGCTATACTGAGCCACGCTCACATCCAAGTGCACTCTCACTGAGCCACGCTCACATTCAGCCATTTGCAGCTTGTTCAGAGACTAATCACATTTTTCACTTGCCAGTGTGTGAAAACATTTTTATGGTAACTCACTGAGACTCCAAACTGAAAAAAAAAAAAAGGCCCCCAACCCTAGCAAGTGTTATTTATTTCCATTTTGTTAACAATAAAGTAAGTCTCAGATGGGCTAAAAACTCCTGTGAAAGGTCACACTGCCCTGCAAATGACAATACTTCCTTGCCCTTCAGGCTCTCTGATTATGGCAAAAGTAATATACCACTTTAAAGGGGTAAATCAATGGGGAGAAAACGCAAGTGACAACCACCCTGGTACTCCTCCAGACTATGAAAAAACACTGTGCTCTTTCAAATACTATTTCCTGTGTGACTACATATACAGATTCATTCAATATACTTTGAAAATGGGGAAAATACTTAACAACATCCCATCCTATTCATGTCCCCTAAAACATACAGATAAACCCCCACTTTATGGTTTTTTTCTTTATTTTTTTTTATTTGAATTAGAAACAGGATTGCTTTACATGTCAATCCCAGTTCCCACGCCTTCCCCTCCTCCCCTACCACTTGCCCAACTTAAACCCTACCTATCACATGTCCTTTCTGCTCCCCAGGGAGGGTAAGGCCTTCCATAGGGTGTCATCAGAGTCTATTGTGACCTATGGGATGGGGCCTAGGCCCACCCCCATATGTCTTGGCTCAGGGAGTATTCCTCTATTCGGATTGGGCTCCCAAAGTCCACACCTATGCTAGGGATAAGTACTGAACTACTACAGGAGGTCCCATAGATTTCTGAGGTCTCCTCACTGAAACCCATGTTGCTGGGGTCTGGATCAGTCCCATGCTGGTATCCCAGCTATCAATCTGGGGACCAAGAGCTCACCATTGTTCAGGTCAGCTGTTTCTGTGGGTTTCACCAGCTTAGTCTGGACCCCTTTGCCCATCATTCGTTCTTCTCTGCAACTGGATTCCAGTTCAGTTCAGTGATTAGTTGTGAACCTCCCACTTTAATAGTCCATTTAGGTTTGCAAAAATTCATTTAGCTATTGCTAGATATTTATGCCAATTTCATTTAAAATACAGAATGTATGAAGAAATTTCTTATAGCAAAAGGTTCCTATGTGTCTAATTTATTTCTTGCTAGTTCTTGCTAGGGAATCTGTTTAAGTTTTTCATAACGGGTTGCCATGTTCACACATTTTAATGCCAATCCTATGGATCATGTAAATAAGCTTCTCTCATAGGTTTTGCTAGACTTGAGTCAGTGGATAACTCTGCCTGTGTGCTTGAGGCATAAGAGTCAGGACAGGGCTCCATACTCTAAGCTATTTGCTAGGTATGGTATCCAGGGATAACCATGGAAGAGGCTCTCTCTCTCTCTCCCTCCCCCTCTCTCTCTGCTTCTGTCTGTCTCTCTCTGTGTGTATGTATTTATGTATGTGTACATGTTCATGTGTGTGTGCATGTGTGCATTTATGTGGAGGTCATAGGTTGACATCAGGGCTTTCCTTAATCTCTACTTTTTTTTTTTTTTTTTGGTTTTCTGAGATAGGGTTTCTCTGTGGCTTTGGAGGCTGTCCTGGAACTAGCTCTTGTAGACCAGGCTGGTCTCGAACTCACAGAGATCTGCCTGCCTCTGTCTCCGGAGTGCGGGGATTAAAGGTGTCCGACACCACCGCCCGGCTAATCTCTACTTTTTATTTTTGAGTCAAGGTCTCACTATACATCTCTGGCTAGCCTAGAACTTGATATGTAGACCAGGATGACCTCAAACTCCCAGAGATATCTGCCTGCCTCTGCCTCCCGAGTACTGAGATAAAAGACAATATACTTGGCACAACCTTAGTTTTTGAGACAAGCTCTCTCACTGAGTTCATCAGTTAGGCTACAGGAGCTGGTCAGGAAGCTCTAATGATCCTCTTCCTTCCTACTCACCAGAGCTAGGTCTACTAGTGTGCACCACCACAACCGTTTTTTTTACATGGGTGCTGGGGATCTGAACTCAGGTCCTCACACTTGCACTGCAGGCACTTTGCCTGCTGAAGCACATAGATGGGCTTTTCGTCATTTTTATAGGGTGTTATAGCTTCCCATTCAAAAATACTTCTAGGATGTTCCTTTCTAGTTGAGTGTGGAAAAGAAGTTGCTTGGGAAAGAACCTTGATTGTTAGGTCCACTGCAGACACTATGATTTTTAAAGCCAGTTCTGATTTAGACTGGGCCATGATAGCAGCTGGTCCCCATTGTCAGCAGCTGAGAAGCCGGCCTGTGCAACCTTAGGCTTAAGTCGAGAGCTGACTGAAGAATATGAAGTACCAGACTCAAGCTTTCTGCTATTTTTCCCCCAGACCACTCCTGAAGATCATTATTCTTCATTGGAATCGACAGGAAGGAAGAACAAAGCTGCAATCAATAAAAGCTTCTTTGAAAACGGCATGTGTTCCCATGATCCATGGTGCAATGATCTATGCAGTAGGGGGCTTTGCCATTCTGTCTGCATAGGCCAGGAGAAATACTTAGGGAGGCTGGACATCTAGAGGGAAGGAAAAACATTTTCAAGAGAATCCAGCCATTGGAGAAGCTCTAAGGTGATGATTCCTAAAGTGGGGGTCTCCCACTACAGCAGCATGGCCTGGACACCCTGCAGATGTAGAGTCTCAGGTTCTACCTCGAAGACCTGTCAAACCAGAAACCTGGGTAGGGGGTAATCTGGGTTGGAAGGACTCAGGCAGTCCTGCTGCATGTGGCAGTCAGGTGCCACTGTTTTCTGTTCCACAAACCCAGAGACTTAGGTGGGACATGGACTGCAGCTCTCTGCTCAGAAATTGGTCCAACCTGGATATTAACTCCTACCTTGCTTTGCAGACAGGACCCCAGTCAGAGCACTACTGCTGGATTTGCCTTGGCCCTTGGAGTTTTTCCGTCTCTCGAGAGCATTCTGTAGCAACAATGGAAAACCCAAAAACCTTTGTCAGAAAAGGCAGTGATGGAAAAGTGCCTTGTTAAGGGAATACCCCTGTGTACTCACAGGAACCCTGGAAGACTCCAAATGTAGCCTAAAACATAGAACTCCCAGTCCTTGGGATTTTAAGAGGCTCCATATAGAGAGAGTTTGTTTGTTTTTTAAGTTACTGCAAGAGAGAAAGGCAGTAGCTGTAGTCCCTTGTATTCAGAGGTGTTTAACTCACGTTCCCTAAATGGGATCTGAGGCAAGAACCCAGACTACATGTGGAGAAACTTGTTATGGAAATCATTTTAGAACAGACCTGACATGAAGACTACATTGGCTTTCATGTACCGATGGTGGTCTCTGGAAAGACATGATGCTTGGATTGGAAAAAGATCGTGGTCAATTAGTGATGTCTGCCTTGGACACAGGATTAAGTACACATGCTGCCATGGTCATTCTTAGGATAGACTCTTGCCTTCACACTGATATATAGTAGTCTGCCATTGTTTGGAATATGAACATGATACATGAAAAGATATAAATGGTTGTAAATTTATATCCTAAAAAGCACACACTTCCTTGCTTCATGTTTATATATAGATTGATGTAAATGAAAGTGTGGCTCCTGCCCGATGGAAAGCCATGGTGATCTCTGAGAACAAAAGCCAATGTCAAAAACCAGGACAATGAGCCAGCTCTCCCTAGTATTAAGTTGGCTGTAAAACTTCACCAGCAGAAAGAGCCATCAATCTATTTTCAAAGCAGAGAGACCCAGGAGAGCTTTCCAATTATAACACTTACAACTAACACTGTTGAAATAGATATTATCAAACCAATGGAGCTGGAATTAGACTAAATGACAGTGAGGAGGCAAATTCAAACATTCTATCCTTCCAGGATGCCTCAAACACTAGCGTTTAGGCTATGATGTTCATCTTTGTGTCTTCTCCCACCGAAATCACTTTCTTGGGGGATAATTATGCAATAAATAGAATCTGATAACTGTACATTTCACAGAGGAAGTGGAGAGGACCCCTGAGTTCACAGGGATGCGACTCCAAGGTGGAAGCACAAGGGTTTCGGAGGTTTCACAATGCCCTGTCCAGACTATAGACATAGAAGCAGATACTGGGAACAGAGGGCATTGGGATTTTACTGTTATGTGGTTGGTTTTATTGGCTATCCCAATTAGGGCTCTTGTTGGGCTCCATTTGGGAGGACAGGAAAATGATGGAATGTCTTTGAAACATAAAAGAGAATCAAACTAGGATGACATGTAGATACCGAGTGGAGAATTACAGACGTCGTCTTGACTGTTACCTTGTACTTGGCAATGTTTGACTTCAGAAGGCTGACCTCCTCATGGAGTTGTTTCAATCTCTCTTGAAGATATCTAGAAAAACACACACACATAACTAAGATGGGCATGGTTGGGGGGAAATGAAGCCCACTAAATGATAAGAGCAAAACATGAAGCCCAGATGTCATTTACTTGTAACGACTTCTTTCTCATCCGGGAGGGCAGGTGTAGGAAAATGTGACCTTTTATTAAATGGAAGTGATCAAGGTCAGACATGCCCAAATCACAGACATCCCATTTTGAAACAGCCCTCTTGGAGATCCCCTAAGGGACAACAACATCCTTTTCACATAATTCTCATTAAGATGATTCCACCAGGGAGCAAACCAGGAAGAGAAGGCGCCAGCCATAACACAAGTCAGACACATCCACACGCAGAAATGTGCCTGGGGGCAAAGACACAGCTAAGGGAATTTCTCAATTTATTTTCTTATTCTTTCTCCTCTCCTTGACAGCAGCCACAAACAACTCTTCCTGGCTCTTCACCCTTGTGGCCCAATCAGAGAAGGTGTGGGAAGCGAGGGAGGCTAGATAAGTGGGTGTTTCCCCCTTCTCTTCTTACTTTTATAACCAGTACATGCCATTGCCAATATTTGGGGACTGTGACTTGCTTTGCATTCCAAATGTGCTGTCTCAACTACAGACAGGGCTTCAGGAACCCCGCCCCCCAGACTGCCTCCCTCCAATGCTCAGCACTCGCCTGTTCTCCATGCACAGAGCATCCACGTCAATGATACGGTTCTCATGACCGCCCAGGATATGGTTGAGCTCCTGGTTCAGCCTGTCTACCTTGTCCTGGTAGGAAGCCCGCTCTTCCTTCACATCCTGGAGTTCATCCACTGACGCCTGCAGGTCATGTTCCAAGGACTCGATCTGAAATCCAAGGAGTGTCACAGTGGTTCTCAAATGTGGGCTTTTGGGTCAGGGGTGTAGCTTCCACTAGACTGGCTGACTTGGAGAGCTTATGGGAACTGCCCAAGTGCTAGAGTCACCCACATTGCAGGCTGGGTAAGGACTAGAGCTAGGGCCACCTTCCAACCAGACACTTAACATGGGTGGGACAGATAAGTGTGCTCTCCAGCCCCAGCACATTGCTCTCATTCACAGGTATGGAAAGGGCAGGCTGATGCTAGAGCTTTACAAAGACATGCTGTTCCAAGCCACTCAAACCCTGGGTGTCCTATGCCCAGTTAGTCAGAGAAGAGGAAGGAAGTTTGTTTCTGTAGCTGCTTCCCAAGCAGGGCTCCGCACCCTCTGAAATCCTGCCTACAAAACATTGCTCAGCATCTTAGTGGAAACTCCTAAGTTACAGGCCAGTTTGTCACATTTCTTCCCAACTGCCTATGCAGGCGGATGGTGGCAAGTCTCTTGGCATGCACAGAACAACAGACATTCAGTACTGGATACCCCCGGCTGCCATCAGACACTCAGCATGAACCTAGGAAGAATGGAGGAAGTCAAGCTCTGTCAGCATCCCCTGGCTTCCTCTTAGACTTGGACACAGGAGCATGTGTGCCCTACTTCCTGTTGTGAGGCCTCATGCAGGCATCCCCACCCACAACAGAGCTCAGCAGTCACCTGTTCCTTAGCTCGCTCCAGCTGCTCAACCAAATCCTCCCGCTCATGGGCTGCGAAATGCCTCATGCCAATTTCTTCATCTCCGAGCCTTTGTTTAGCAATTGTCATCCTCAACAGCTGCATGTTCCATTATCAAAAAAAAGGCAAAGGAAGAGAGAAAGAATATGAATGAGTACATCCCCCCAAACCTCAAGGACCTATCCAGACATTTCTGGAAGAGTAAAATTCTTGCAAGAACTACTGGGGAAAAGCATAGAACAAACTGCTTATCAATAGTATGAAGTTTTAAGAAAGAGAAAGTTCTGTTATAATTTTTGATTGTTGATACACATGTGCACATGTTCAGTGTAAGGCTGGGGTAGCCAGGCTTGATACTGGAAGGTGGATGTGCCACAATGAGAAAGAAGAAACTCTTGAACCTCATTTAGACTTAGCAAAGATCCAAAAATAACCCCCTAGGACTGGTTAGGATCTGCTAAGATGGACACGCCCTATATATTGAACCACTAGACAATGCTATCAGGAACTTTTAACATGCTATTCAATGCCCAGTAAGTGCTCCTGACAATGTGGTTCTGTGAATGACCCCAGACATGGGCTAGCTTCTTGAGAAAAGACAAGTAGAAAGAACTGGAGAACACAAGCCTTTTACACACGGTGACCAAGTATGTGCTAAGAACTTACGTTTGAGAGAATACATAAAGTGACCAAATATATAAAGTACCCAAACATCTGTGTTTGGGGATGCTGACACTCTGCATACTGTCTCCCAGCTCCCGCCTCCCAGGTAAGGCCACAGTGGGAGTTATGGGAGAGGTCCCAGGATGAACCCATAATCTTAGAGCATCCATGCCTGCCCATCACAATGTACTTATCCTAAAAAGGTTCATCATGCATCAACTTATCCCTATAGCTGCATATGCATGAAGCCCTAGGAACATGTTGTCTCTATCATGTGGGTATGACAGCCCAGCATAGCTCACTGTGGGCATGTTCTTTCTTGCTCCTGCTTGAGCCTTACGAGAACAGTGACCAGCACAAGGGGTTAAGCCTCAGCATTCCTGAAGGATTTGGGTCAGGTGAGAGACAGAAAGTTAGTTTAAGCCTAGGCAGAATTACCTAATTGAAATTATGACAGCAGTGAACTTGAAAAGAAGTGATAACTGCAGAAAAGCAGGCAGGATGCAATGACCCTCCACTGCTCACTGAATCTCACAATATCTACTGAGTGCTGTGAGCCAAGGGCTGGCCGAGGGTGGAGAATACTCACATGCAGAACTCCATTCCTAGTGGAATCTGCTAAGTCCATCCTTGGGGTTCATAGCATGTGGATTTTTGGATTTTTCCTACTTAACACAGCTTACTTATTTTCACCCCCAAATCTATGCTCAAGGTCTTCTAGTTTCATTGTTGAATATTCAGAGTGGGAAATATGTGAGGGCCGGATGTTCAGCCCAGATGAGGTCAGCAAGGCCACCTTCTGCCTCCCTGCCTCACACTGTGGATGGCCTGTCCATGGCCGGCTTGGTCCTGAGTGCCCACATTTTTCTTTTTCTTTTTTGATTTTGATGGTTTTATAAAATTCACGTATTTGTGGGATTCAATGTGTTGTTTTCATGTATGTATATACTGCATGATGTTCCTGGCACTGTAATTAATACACATTTCACCTCCCACATTTATCATTTATCATGAAAAGCTTTGGAACCTAACTGCTATGAAATACATACTGCATGGTGCTAATTAACCATGGTCACCTACTATGCAATAAAGCGTGAAGCTTAATCCTCCCCTTCAAGTGTGACTCTGTCAGGATGTTAACACCTATGCTCCCATGCCCACCCCAGTCTCAGATAAACAGATTTTCTGGTTTTGTGGTAAAACACTCTGACCAAAACAACTTGGGAAGGGAAGGGTTGGTTTCGGCTTACATTTCCAGGGACAGCCCATCATTGAGGGAAATCAAGGCAGAAACTCAAGCAGGAACTGTAGAAAGCAAAACCAGAGCTGCTGACTGGCTTGCTCCTGGCTCATACTGAGCTAGCTATTTTATGCAGCCCAGACACAGAGGCTTAGGGATGCTTCTCTCCACTCCTACCCCAGTGGGATGAGCCCTCCCACATCTATCAAGACAATCTCTCACAGACATGGCCACCATCCAATCTGATTGAGGCAATGCTTCAGGTGAGGTTCTCTCTTTCCAGTTGACTAAAGGTTGTGTCAAGTGGACAATAAAAACTAGCTAGTGCAACTTTTCTGTGAATAACCTTTTTAAGATTCTGGATAATAATATGATCCTGAGGTCTTTCTGTGATTTATTTATTTATTATTTATCTAACATGATGTCTTCTGAATTTCATCCATTATGAAGACAGAGTGGTATCCCACTGGGCATATGTACCATATCTTCTTTATCCAGTCCATTGATGCACACTTAGGCTGGCACCATACTATGGCTAGCCTGAGTAGCATATCAATGAACAAAGGCATGAAGGTATATTTTAATATACTGATTTCATTCCCTTGAATACATACCCAGTAGTGCAACTGCTATAGTTTGGTGCACATATATAACATTTTATTTACTTATAATTGGAAGTGCTACAGCATTTCCTCCCATTGTTGTATAAATCTATACTCCCACTGGCAGTGTGGGAAAGGTCTCCTGATGATGGCTTCATGTACACTGCTGGTATGCTGTCTAGTGTTTTTGAGTGCAAGAAGGATGGCTGCCATGTGCCTCATAGGGAAAATTTGTGAATTGAGGCAGCTCCTTCTGAGTCTAAGTTAAAGAATGGGTTAGCCTGTTAGTTTAATGCTGATAAATTAAACATCTCTGTCAAATAAGTTTAGGTTAAATGGAAGCTTACAGAAAACATTGGCACAGTAGCTGTGGCAGAGGCTGGCAGGAGCCTCCCCACCTCTCCCTAGACCACTAAGCCAATACTCTCACAATCAGCATTGAAGTGGCCTCATGGAACACATGGACACACAGCAAAGCTGACAAGCAGCATTTGTCAAACCCCAGAGGCTGGATCACAAGCACATAGGCTTCTGTCAGGAGGTCACAGGAGACTCGGGCTATGTCTTGAAGACACATTCTAGATAGACAGCTTGAACTACAGGTAAAGAAACCTCACTTTCCAGTTACAACTGGCCTCACAGCACATTTCATTTAGCATCATACAATTCTGTTTATTAATGCCAATTAATTATTACACATGCCTAGTGAGCCCCCACTCCATAGAACAGAGCTATCTTTACACTGGATGCTAGTTAAATGTCAATCAATGCATTAGCTATCATTTGGTGTTTAATGTGCAGATAATATTGCTCCTACATGGCAGGGCTGAACTGGTTGAAACACATTTAAACTGAAGCTCAAGTTGGGTTGCTAGTTGGGTCTGAAATTTAAATGCAGTCAGCAGAAAGGGCCTGGTGAGGCTATTGCTGTGGCTACGTAGAGCCCAGGACATCAAGCCTGCCTTCTACAAGGACATCTCATAGGCTCTGGGGTCACCTGTTTAGGGCTTCCCACACTTACTCCCCAAAAATGATCTTGAATGTCTCCATGCCTCTGTATCTCCCTGCTGAGAGCACACTATGAAATGGGAGAGAGTGGAGGCATAGTAAAGGAATACTGGCTTAGGGGCCACATAGGTGAAAAGGAATGAGGGATGCAAAGAAAAGAAGTCATTCTAAAATTTGAGTGATTCCCCTCACACTCATGAGGAGAGTGACTGTATGTATTCAATGTACATAGACTACATTTTCCCAACTATCTATGCTAAGTTGTAATGTTTGCAATCATCAATAATGCCACAGTTTGGAGGCATGCATGCAACTGTTTGCCCTTGACTGTTTGTGAAATTTAAGGACCATCCAGGTAATCTGAGCTTGCCCCATGTTGATGATAGTCATGGCCCTGAAGAACAGAAAGTGGTCCTTCTTTATGGCATTAGCTTAGTCCAGGAGCAGAGAAAGTGTGTGACTGACTAACATCAGCTGCTTGCAGAATGGGTATCATCATCACCATCACCTTCATTACTGTCACTATCATTATGATCATTGCTACCATTACCACCACCACCACATTGTCATCATCATCCATTCAGTAGCCCCTAACAACCACCTAGGGAAATATGCTGTCTTTAAGATGGCTGAAGCCGAGCTCCAGACCCAGGCTTACAAGTGAGCATGACGGCGTGGCTGTCTACCAAAGGAAGTAACAATAAGCACTGCTTCCCACATTTGCCATCCTCAAACAGGGCATCACAACAATACAGCTAGTTTCTGAGTGCCAAGAGAACTAGTGCTCTGTGAACACCCGCTCTGTCAGCAAGGGACACTACCATTTGCTGATTTAGAGAGAAATAAATGTTTATGAATGAATTATGGACATGAGTCTTTGGCTGGTGCACAATGCCCAGCTGCAGCTCAGATGTCGCTGGGGGACAGGGAACAAAACAACCTGGCAGGAAGACTCCAGGTCATTGCCAGCTGCCCAGGCCCCACCAGGCTTAGCCTATGTGAGGCCTCCCTAGTCCTTGAGTCACAGAGACACAATCCTTCTTTGACCTCTTCTCAGGTTTCTACTGTCATGGCCTATAGCATTGTTTTCATTTGCTAGAATCCATTTTGTCCAATGGGTACTGGGTGGCAGTTAGGGTGGGAGCCACTATTCTCTGAGTGTTACCTCTGTTCAGATTCTTCTTTTGCCAATCCTAGCTATGTGCCCTGACAAAGTCACCTAACCTTGCCAAGCCACACATGACTTGCGAATTTAAAAACAAAGATAAGTGTGACCTTAAAGATACACCAGTGTCTATGCAAAAGAGTTTGTCAGCAGGCATGGTGGCACATGCCTTTAATCCCAGCACTCAGGAAGCATAGGCAGGTGGATTTTTGAGTTCAAGGACAGCCTGGACTCCACAGTAAGTTCCAGGACAGCCAGAACTACACAGAGAAACCCTGTCTCAAAAACAAATAAAAGAAAAATGAAAAAAGTTTGTCACTTATAACAAGATGATGGGGCCTGTGCTCCTCTCTTGGGACTCAAGAAACTGTCATCCACACACTACTGTGCATGTCAGCTAATGAGCTCCCTCCTTGGGCTG